TAATCTATAAGGTCTACGATAAATAGGTGGTTGATCCTTTTTCAACTTAATAGAATGTGTGCCGACATTGGTGTAGGTTAGAACATCCCCTTCTAAATGAAATATGCTATTATATCGTTCACATATCTCATAAATAGATTGTTTTTCTATTTCATCCATGTGGTCAGTTATTATTATTTGTTTCAAACGTGCTATTCGCTCATTGTGATCATTCGTCGATTCTACATTATATATTTCGTATTCGGTATCATAGAGTATTTTATTTAGGTCGATTTCAGATATGCTTTTCGTTTCCTCTGATATATTTAACATGCTAACTATTGCCCTGCCATTATTAACGATAGACACTGTACTACTGCAATATACGTCTTTTACTAATTCTTGTTTATGTATAAATATTTCCTTGCTTTCTATTAGTGGGTCAGCTATCTGTATTCCTACAATAGTTTCAGTCCGCGGATTTAATTTAATAAAACTGGTTTTGTCAGCCTCTTTGAAATTTGTTAGTGTATGCGAGGTCGTTTGAATAATTAATTTGTTGTTCGCTACATCGACTATTGCGTTATTTTTCGACAAGAACTCGTTTCCTAATATTCCGTCCTTGGGTATTGGAAATCGTGCACTTACGATATGAAATTCTGTTTTAATGTTTTCGCTATTTAATTTAATTAATATTGATATTTTCCCTATGGTTTTTGTAAGACATTCATTTATACCGCGTAGATTTATTTTTTGCGTTTCGTCTACTTCTAGTTCTTCGCGTAAGCAATTTATTTTGAGAATATTTACCTGACTACCTGTATCTATCATTAAATGTAATTGATTTGTTTTTGCGGCATTAGAATCGAACGTTATATGATTATTTTCTAGTTTTGCGAATATGTGAAATATTCGTTCGTCGGTTGTTCCGCGATAATCTGGTTTATCGTGCGAGTACCGCGTACCTCGTTCGACACGTTGGCGTTTCCCGAATTATTTCTACTTTCGTCGTTTCTCTTTTTGTAACATGAATCTACGTTATGACCGATTTTATTGCAATATGAACACGTAACTGGTTGTGCATTATAATTTGTCGGCGGTTGCGTAAAATTATTTCTATTAGGTGGACGGTTGTTATTTCCGTTGCTCGCGTAGTTAGGTCTCGAATTATTTCTACATTGTGATGCAAAATGATTTCCATTGCAGTTATAACATTTTATTGGTGGTCTATTAATTGGTTGAGAGAAGTTGTTTGCTCGTGGATAATTATTTTGCGCAAAATTATTCGGCCTTACAAAGTTATTTGGTCTTACGTTCCTGTTGTTCCTATTTTCATAATTCGATCTACGTTGATTATTGTTTTGCGTATAACCACTCGAATAATGATTCCTATTTTCCTGTTCTAATCTTAATTCTACCTGTTCTGACATAGCGATTTGTTTCGCGATTTCAAGAGTTTTAGCATTACGAGATTTTACTATCGTTCTAATCGGTTCTACTAATCCTTTAATAAATATTGCTAGAGTTTGGTCCCTTAATGTTTCATGTATAATTTTTGCTTCTGCAGCCTCTTTGTTTAACGTGCTTACGGTACATAATTGATAATATAGTTTTTCTACTCTGTGGCAATAATCGTTTACGTCCTCATTGTGATTCATTCTAATCGAATTTAATTGAAGTTGTAACGACGATGCATTGGTTGTTACTTCGAATGCGTCTGTTAAATATGCTTTTATAAATTGCCATTTTGTTACGTTTTTATATTTAATCATTTCTAGTGCTCTACCCGTTAATCGCGTAGTGATATATTTTACTAATATTGGTGCGCTAGTTGCGTCAACTAAACCTACTCTCATATCACATGCATTTATGAATTGGTAAATATCGTCTATCCCTGTGCATACTGGAATTAATTTAAAAGCGTCTTCTAATTTTATGGTTACTGCCATTTTTTTATTGCGTGATTTAGATATAAAATCTAACGACTGATGTTCAAAACTCTCTGTGACTTTGCTACGTGTGACTACTCCTAATTGTGGACTTGGGGTTTTACTTGTGCTATCTCCTAACTGGGTTTCTACTATAATATTTAACTGGGCTTTCTGTTGGGCTTCAAACTGGGCTTGGGCTTCTCTCTGGGCTAATAACTGGGCTTCTAACTGGGCTTCTTCTACTACACTAGTGTCATACAATGAATTAGCTACGTTCAAGGGAGATGTATCTTCTTTGTCCATAAATTAACTTAACCGCCTATTTAATACGTTAATAATCATAATAATACTCAATAAAATTCAATAATGCCCTATAAATACAATAATAACTTCAATAATATGCCCTCTAATAAATACAATAAACTTCAATAATACTTCAATAATAAAAATGCCCTCAATAAATAATAATCAATAATAACTTCAATAAAAAACATGCCCTCAATAATACAACTTCAAATAATCAATATGCCCTCAATAATTCAATAAACTTCAATAATAATCAATAAAATATGCCCTCAATAAAATTTAAAACGGTTTACACCATTACACTTATAATCAACTACCTAGATTTATCTTAATATGTCTTAATTATGTTGCATACGTCTATGTAACAAATTTAAATAACTATTCACTCACAATAATGCTGCGTTCATGGATGATGATGACATGTTGCCGTTGATGATGCTGCTAATGGATTTGTTGGTACTGCGATGTGACTTATTTGTTTTTTGTTGGTTCCTCCTGGAGTTGTCTTCGCTGAAGAGTGATCAATTCTTCGTTGTTGACAGTAGCCTTTGATGGTTGCCTCCCTTTGGAATCCTACGTTCGACTGCGCCAGTGTTACATGCGGCCCTTCAGGGATCCAAAAGCTGGTGTACTTGATAAATAATAATAGTCAAATTAGTATGATAATCAAATGTAATATATTAAACCAGGCAAAACAAGCAGAATAATAGTGTTGATTGTAGCGAATTTGTAGCTCGTTCCGAAGTTGATAATCTCCGTGTAAGTCGTGTGTGATGGCTGGGCGGCTAAGCGAGTCGTGTGTTGTTCTCGTCTCTGGATACATCTAATTTGTATTGAGGCCCTATCCTCTATATATACGAATATACGAAGGCGACGCCCTTTGAATTGAGCGGCGCGTAGCATGTAGGCGCCCTTGGAAGTTGTTGTTGTACGAAGCGTTTATTCTAGCTATGACCACTTTTGGGTGTGGTCGACGAGGCCGCTTTCTACATAAGTAGTACTTGTTATTGTGAGCGTTGTACATGAATTGCGTAATCCCATTACAGGATATTGTTCGTACAATAAAACAAATATTTCCTCACACCAAAACGCTGCCTGGGATAGTGATTTTAAAAATGTTAATAAAGATTTTATTGATAGCGGTAATTTTAACGGATGTATTAATCTTAAACATTTGTTTGGTTTTTGCGAAGATTATAAACGCATTTTAATAAACTGTAACCAGCAACTCATATTAAATAGAGCTTCGATTGATATGAATGCCATCAAACAGTATAAAAATAATGAAACTGTCGTAGACGCCCCTAAACTAAAAGACGTTTAAATAAACATAACAAAAATATTGTGGCGGATGCCTATAGTGAGAGTTAGCGATAGAGAAAAAATTCGACTGTTGAAAGTAGTCAACAGTCAAAAACCCCTGGCATGTACGTTCAGATCGTGGGAACTGTGTGAATACCCATTTTTACCTCAAAACACTTCACATTCGTGGAAAGTAAAGACATCCAACAAGTTAGAAAAACCTCGATATGTTATAATCGGATTTCAAACTGATAGGAAAAATAGCACAAGTAAAGCAATGTCATATTTCGATCATTGTAAAATTAAAAACTTGAAAGTCTATTTAAACTCCGATGTATTTCCATATGAAGATTTTCAAAGTGACTTTAATAAGAATAAGATGGCGACATTATACCGCGCGTATGCAGAGTTCCAAAAATCTTACTACGGTCACGACGATGTAACACCTCTATTGAACCGATCAGAATTCAAAAATCACTCTCCAATCATAGTTGTTGACATGAGCTGACAGAACGACAATGTGAAAATGTCGACAGTGGACCTCAGAATTGAATTAGAAGCTGATGAGGCGTTTCCAGCTTCCACTTCCGCATATTGTTTAATATTACATGACCAAATTATTACTTATAATCCATTTAACGGAGAAGTAAGAACCTTGTAAATATTTATTGTAAACCTTAATATTTTATTGTAAATCTTAATATTTATTGTAAACCTTAATATTAATAAATGAAAAAACTTTTTTTTATATATCACGTCTTTTTTTTTATTTTTACATAAATTAATTATTTTACATCAATTATTAGAATAGTCTACGTTTTACATCACGTAGCGGCGTGGGGTGAAGAGCATAAGTTGCTCGATCAGATGGTTCGTGGGTAGTAAATTGAGACAGTGAATGGTTTGAATTGAAAAAATCAGACCCATCATCTTCATCGAACGACTGTTGTTGGCTATCGAGCGGCATTGGACCATCAATATGATCTATCGGCTGTAATAAATAAAATAATTGTAATATTGTTTTTAATTTAAAGAAAAATATTATATAAATTACCTTAGCTAGAATAGTTGTAGTGGCAACTTCCTGTTTACTTGATATAATGTTGGCTGGAGAATAGTTTGGTGATATTGGTGAATACCCGTCCTGCAAGTAAAATAAAAAAAACTTGTTTAAATATATGTTTGTACATAATATTATATTTATGAATTACCTCAACTAAATCATTCTCCAACGGATTAATTTCATCACATGCATCGATTTCTTGATACAATTTAGATATTCCTTCCTCTACAATCGAATAGTTAGGTGAGAAATATGACAGCGTTTTGAAATTCTTATCATATGCCTAAAATAAAAATAAATGTAATTTAATATTTTATATACGTAATAATATTATATTTTTAAATTACCACTTTTGAGTCTTGTACTTTCCGATGAGCCATACAAAGTTCGGCCAATTGTGTAGTCGCAAACATTTTAATTTAACCGAGGTTAGGTGTCTTTTTACTCTGCCTGACTTCAACGTTCCGAATGAAAATTTCCATTTCCCTCAAATTGTTGGGTGGTGAATCCGATTGCAAGCATTTTTCCCTCAAATACTCGCAATAATCACTAATTTGCTTAATAATTTCGGGTTTTATTTTTTCTTCTTTTTCTTTAATACTAGCAGTAATACACCATTCTAATTCTTGGAGTTTTATTAAATCTATATGATTTAATAAAACTCTACATCCGTCTTCAGTCTTAGATTCAATTACTAGAACGTTTGAACCGCTATACACCATACTCGATATTTTATAAGAATCAGTTTCGAGAAATATGGTTCGCTTGTAGTTTTGCGGCGTGTCTAATATAAAAGATAGTACGTTACCCATAAGCGAGAATATCCGTCTTAGAAAATCTATACTAATTTTCACGTGACGTGAAGAAGTCAATATATGGATAACTGTTTGGAAATCATCAGTCGGATCGATTCACACAAGTACAAATTTGCGAGTGGTGAAGTCTAATGTGTAGGATGTAGAATCTATTAGCTCAGCCGGAGGTGCTGGAGGAACGTACGTAAACGGCTTCTTTTTGTCTCAGCGAATGAACCAGCCATGATATTAATGATTTTTAGAACTTATAAAAATAAACACTGAAAATTTATTAAGACTTGAAAAAATAAACACTGAAAATTTATTAAGACTTGAAAAAATAAAAACACTCACAAGAAATAAAAATGTACGTGTAGTATAGCATAAGACTCTGAACACACTGAATAAATGTCCGCTCTTGCAGGGTCGAGCGTCTGATGATTTGAGTCATTATTCGGTGGGGGAAACATTATTAGATGGGGGAAACATTATTAGGTAGGGGTAAATTTCTCAACATCTGCCGTAACAGGTGCAGGTGGTCAAGGCTTAAAATATACAAAGGGGTATACATGTATAGTGTTGTTGAAGAATGTTAACATTAGATAGGGTATGTCGGGACACACACGTCGTTGCCTGTATAAAATATACAAAGGGGTAGGGGAGCAAGGACTAGGCGGGGTAAAATATACGTCGCGCACGTGCGCGATCGGGCGGCGGTGATGACGAGGATGAGCAATGGGCGGCGGGTTTGGGTGGTGAGGCGGGGTGGGGTAAAATATACGTCACGAACGTGCGCGATCGGGCGGCGGGTTTGGGTGGTGAGGTGGGGTGGGGTAAAATATACGTCACGAAGGTAAGCGGTGGGTGGGGGAGGGGTAAAATGTACGTCGTGTACGTGCGCGATCGGGCGGTGGCGGTGGCGGTGGAGGACAATGGGATCATGGGATAATGAGGATCATGGGATCAGCGGTCTGAACTCTCTATTTTATACTACTAACAACGTCAAACTTTAGCAACAGAACCAGCAGAAACTACTGTACAATCAAGTACTTCTTCAGATCAAATTGAAGATCAAGCACAATCTACTTGGAACACTAAATGGTTATCATCAATCATGAGATTCAAATCTACTTTTTTGGACAACGATTATGGCTACGCTTGCTCGGTCTGTGATAGACTTTGGTTTAGAAACGACAGTCAGTGTGACGACGTGTCAGTGCTTGAATCGCTCGAATCGAGTATTCCTGCTTCTTTTTCTAATTTTTTAAAATTTATTTTATTAGTTTTTGCTTTGATTAAAATTAAATCGCATTCTTCTTTGCTTAATGTGTTATCTATGTCGTCTAATGTTATGGTGCCTTTTAAGTATCTACTAAGTCTAGCTCTTAATTCACTAGTTGTACCTGTTGATTTAAATTTTTTATTTTCGCAATATTTAATAAGAAATGGTTTTTTGAGAGTATAGATTTCTGTTGCAGTATTTATTGTTATAGAAAGATCCGATTTAGGGTCTTTAAGTTGATTCATTAATTTATAAAATTTGAAAAACTAATTTAAATAATCCTAAATCTATACTAGGACATTTTAACGGTTTTTAATTATGTTTATCTACAATTAACCTACGTTATACTATTGGTAAAATCCCTGAAAATTTAAATTATTAAGAAGTTTGACAAAAAAAAAAAAAAAAAAAAAATACTACTAAATTAATTATAATACTATGTTATTGAATTAAAAAAAATCTAATCAACAATCCTAATATTAATACGTAAGTATATCACTTAAATTAAAATATTTTTGCGGTTATAATTATATCGAATAAAAATTTTGAAAAGAAAAAGAATGAAATAGAGAGAAAAAAAAATGAACTACAAAAAAAAATATCCTATTTAAATAGTTTCTTTAAAAAAAACCTAATCTACTCGTTTAAAACTTAAATTAAAATTTTGCGGTTATTTAAAATTGAAAAAATTTTGAAAAATTATTGAACTAAAATTCTATTTAAATTGTTTTAAGAAAAATCTAATCTATAATCCTAATATAGGTATATTACAAAACGTTGCTCACCTTGGCGTATACTTGTAGACGCACGGTTGCAAAAAATTGTACCACGCGGCACAAAACTGCTGTCTTGTCGGTCAGACAAAAATCGAACGCGTATGTGTTACTCACTCGGTATACACACGAACAAAAATTGCGTTCTGGGTTTCTACTGCACCCAAAACACAAAAGGTATATTTTACTTTAACGGAAAAAAAATCACTAAACTCGCTCCGGGTTTTACTATCCGAAACGTGCACAATTGTTGTACTTCACTTGTACCAAAAAAAATGGTGTGTCAAGGGAATCTCTCCCAGACCACACGTAAAACTGTTGTACTTCTCGTACATAAACACTTCAAAAAATTAAAACTTGCCAAGGTTGAGGTACCAGGGCACAAAAATCAAAAAAATGTCTCCGACCGTGGATAAGTAACCCCGTTGGGCGCCACTCTGTGGTATCACCCGTATTGGATAATACGTGGTAAACCAACTTTATACCTTACCCTCGTACGCTCTAGGCTAATGACTGTCTCTAGAATAAATTCAGATTAGCACTGTTAACCTTTGAGGTACGATGGTAGCGTTTTGTCAGTTCTTCGTTCGTTTCCTAAATTGGAATGACTATTAGGACGCCACAACCAGAGCACTGTTCAGTTTGTAATAAACCTCATTGATTATAGGTGTGTGGGTCTGAGCACTGTTCCAATATTAAAGGTAAGAACGAAGAAGACTTTGAAATAAAACTCAACTCGGGTTTTTAGGTCGGAAACACTTTTATTATATTAAAACAAACATAAATGAAACACTTAGCAAATCCGGATTGCCTAGCCCGTACTACGATCGACGTTTCACACGTACGACCACAGTACCTACGTCCTCGCCGATTCACTCAGCGACAACGGGACTCCTCCTCGTGCCTGCGCGTGCGGCGGTGTTATATAGTAATCTTATCGCTGTCTAAGCACATATGCTTCACTGACCTATGTCAATAGTTTACAATTTAAAATGTTCACATGGTGTTGTAAGTTATTTTAATTTGTACTCAATATAATATGTGGATCTGTTAATAGTTATAGTTTAGTAATTACATTTTAATCTAACAGGCAACAATAATTGGCCATAAGACCAATAAAGTTTTGTTTGTTGGTATTCGCAACAAATATTGTGTTGTTTGCAAGAAATCAGCGCCGAGAAAGGAAGTTGTAGAACACAAATGTTTCCTAAATTGGAATAAATCGTCCACGGACCACGAGTATGGAAGCTGATGGTGTGGTTGAAGGCTTTTTAAAAAGCCTGGAAATGCACGGACTGAAGTTTAATCGACTAATTGGTAAAATAAAGATGACAGACCTTTTTTGCATAATAGCTAGATATTTTTTTATTTAACAATACAGTAAAACCTCTCTATAACGGACCCTCTATTAGACGGAATCCTCCTTATAAAGGAAAATGTCAATAATTTTCTATTAATCTTTCAATAGTTTTTCTACCTCCCTATAACGAAAAACTCTTTATAACGGAAAAAAATTGAGTCCCAAGCGGTTCCGTTATAGGGAGGTTTTACTGTATTTGTACCATGTTTTGATGAGGGGACGGAGATAGTAGTGTAACAAAAAGGCTCCACGAAATTCAGCCGTACGGACCAAACTTTTATGTAAAAAAAATTGAATGTTGTAATCATTTGATACGAAACTATATAACTAAGTTGACTACGTTAGCTAGGAATTCAAAATATCCACTTCGTGTCCCCAAATTTATATTAAAAAACATATATCGGTTCCGGTCTGATGTCACTAAAGCTGCCAAGCGTTGGAGAAATTTAAATGGTTTAACTATATCTCAAAAAATGAAAGGTGAGTATATTAATTTAAAATTTTAAAATTTGTATTATTAATAGATTTTAGTCGGTATATTGATTATTATACTTATTTCTGTGAAAGTTAAGTAAGTAATAATTATTTACATATTCAGGAATTCGAAAAGATTTGAGTAATGGTCCATTTCATCGCTTAGGCGATCATACCAATTGTGAAACTTATTTTTGCGATTCAAAAACCAACGAAAGGAATCTAGTTCCAGAAGCTGTCGGTAGGGGAATTATGTCTGAAATTCAAAATTGTGTGTCGAGATTAATTGTTAATACCGAAAGTTTATTGGAAAATAAAGACAACAATATTTGTGAACAATTTAACTCGCTAATTAACAAACACGTTGCTGGTAAAAGAATTAATTTTTCTATTCGAGGGAACTATAATACACGTGTTGAAGCTGCCGTTGTATCATTTAATAGTAAGCAATTTTTACGAAAGCTTCACAAAAAGATGACAAATAATTTCAGTCCAGGTATGTCTGTTATAATTATTTAAAATTATTTATTTACCATCGGAAAAGATAGTGAAGTTGAACACCGAAGCATTATTTCGACCACAAAAAAAAAAATTTTATTTAAAACTTTTCATTGTAAAATCAATACATTCATTGCTCCGCTTCGATTCTAATATCAACAAATAACAATAATGTATAATATAATCACGGAATTTCTTTAATAATAAAAACTAATACTAGATAAATATTATACAACCGATTAATCATATTTGTTATAGGAAAATATTAAAAAAACCATAGTAGAATAGTTGGTAACACTAAACGTTTAAAAAAAAACTCGTAGAGATAACGGACCAGATGAGGACTATGGTTTGGCTGAGCCTTTAGTCGACGAGATATCACCAGAAATGTTTGAAGAAAAAAAAATCAATTCCTTGTTTCATTAAAAAACTCAAATATTGATGAAATTGAATCCAATACTCGAGACCAAACCAATAGTGAAGCATGGTACAGAGAACGCAGATTACGTCTTACGGCTTCTCGGTTTGGTCAGATTTGTAAAATGCGTAGTACTACAAGTTGTAAGAACACGGTTTATAATATTTTATATGCATCTGAAGCCCAATAAAAATCGTTACAATATGGTCGTGACATGGAGGATATAGCTCGAAAAGCTCAGAAAATTACATAACATTCGATCACTGTATAGGTAAAAATTCTAAAAAGGTGGGTTGGGGCTTCTGTAACACTTTTTAAAGGGAGATGAAAAAAAGTTCAAGGAGGAAAGTCCCCCTTGCAGAACATTCGATTACCGTATAGGTAAAATTCTAAAAAGGTGGGTTGGGGCTTCTGTAACACTTTTTACAGGGAGATGAAAAAAAGTTCAAGGAGGAAAGTCCGCCTTGCAGCACATTCGATCACCGTATAGGTAAAAATTCTAAAAAGTATGGTTAGGGGTTCTGAGTTAATTTTTACGGGGAGATGAAAAAAGTTCAAGGAGGAATGTATGCCTTACAATGAAACCAATCTACCTAAAATTTACTAGAGAAAATTCAAAACGATATTAATTTGTCAGACAAGATTTTATTTAAAACATTTAGTCAGTTATTATCGAGCCGTCGTACAATCAAGTTGTGTTATATTTTTTTTTTCAGTGCATTATCTTATTGAATCGATTTTTTTCAACCAATTATTTTAAGTTTTATTAAAAACCATGAAAGACAGAAGAACAGAAAAACAAAAGTTTTCAAACGATTTTCCTTCATTGGTTTATTTAGTTAGAAATAATTCGTATCCAGTGCATTCAGATTTTACTACATTTTTATCGAGATTAAAAACGTATAATTCATTTCCATCTACTTTATGTCAAAATAAATATTCGTTATCTGAGGCTGGATTTAAGTATTCAGGAACTGCTGACATAGTCGAATGTTTTTATTGCGGACAGCGGACTGGTCTTACAAAAATGGACTAAAGACGACATTCCGTTTGTTGAACACGCAAAATGGAATCCTAAATGTATATTTGTTTTACTTTGTAAGGGTAATGAATTTATAGAAAATGTAAAAAACGAATATGTAAAATCTGCACATGTTTGTGATTGTAATCAGTCTAAATCATAATATGTTATCATTTACTAGTTTACTTGTTTTAATTAATTATATTTTAATAATTTGTAATCATTTATAAATAAATATTGTATTAATCGACTTAAATGCGTTAATAATTGATTTTATATCTCGTTGACTATTGTAGCCGAGTCGGATGACGCGTCAAGTTGTAATTAAATATAGTAGATTTAAAATTCAAGTTACAGGTTCAACGGTTCAAGTAAGTATCCCCTCTCTACGCGTTATCTGATTTGGTTTCATGGTCACTTTAGTTTTTTATATCGATATCAGTCAAATAAGTTTAGTATATAATAAAACAGGATTCAAGTAAAATACTCAGTTTTCAAATATGTGTGTTGTAACGATCATCCGTTATTCTATTTCATGTTTTTTGAAGTTCAAACATTTTTTTACATTTATATGTTTTTTTAAAAAAAAAAATCATAAAAAATCGACTATATCAAAAAGAACATGTCGCAGTACAATATGATTCCAATTGTTGTTTCAAAGTCAGTAATCGATATACGACCTCTTAGCAAGAAAAGTGTAACTGTTGGATTTTTGGTTGATAAAAATATGTTTACTGTTATTATATTACTCCAATGTAATTTCGCAAAAAAAATGCTAATGATCGATTTAATACAGTGGTATACACTAATTTCAGATTCAATTTATAGCTCAATAACTAATAATCTACATACTAATAATATTAAACGTATAAAAATAACAGATAGCATCAGTGCCGCAACTACACCAATTTGGGCTAGTGTGTAAATAAAATGAATGAAAAATTTACCTATTGACTATTGTAAAATTAATTTTTCCAAATTTGAAAACATACTTTGGAATTTTGAGTTTTTACTCATACAAAATAATTAAAACACTTAGGTACCTATTAGTACTTATGTATTTACAAATTTATAAATGTAATAATTTGTAGACTTTTTTCTTCATTTTAAAATATTTAATATAAATAATTATCAAATTTAAAATAAATTGAACATACCATCATAGCCGCAAATTTTTTTGGGGGACTCAAGCCCCCTCACCTATATTGCTTAGTACAACAGAATATAAAAATTAGTACTAATTACTAGATTTTGAACTGGGGGACTTGACCGACATTTGGATAGACTAAGTCCCCCCAAGCCCTCCCCCTATTTGTGCCAATGCATACCATACATTAACAGTCAATTAGAAACTCAAAAATAAATACGGTACTCACTTTCAAAAATTCATTTTTCTTGCCTTTTGTTTACAAAATTGTCAATTATATTTTCTATTTGAATATCATTTGTTTGTTGTCTTTCAATATTGAGCAAAGCTATATTTGAAAGTCTTATTTTTAATCTTAGTTTAATCTATATTAATTATAGTCTTATTAGTTATTTTTCTATTTTTAATTTCGGTTATACAGGCCACAAAAGAAACGTTGATGTATGATAATGTTGTTTACAAAACAAAACCGATCTATTGTTCAATCTTGTTCAATCTTTATTAATAACAAAATGGTTTTATTTTTTTCTTTCAATATATTTTTAAATTTTTATAATTTTGCCCCCCCCTTATTATGAGTGTGTTTGATACACGCAACACACCCGGTTATTGCGGCACTGGATAACTGGATAGCATATATTATTCAGTTAATTTAAATCAGTTTACTATCAAATTGTATGTTAATAACCAATTTATTACGTTATCATATAATGATCTCCACCGGATAAAAGAATTACAAGAATGTATTGATTCGTATATTGTTGAGAAGCAGAAAAAGTTGGTTTCATATCAATCAATTTTTGATTCAGTGTATTCATTAATTAAATCAGACATTAATATTCTACCATTATTTTGTCAGCGAAATGATTTTACAAACCAGCATATTATACAAAATTTTGATTTTAGCAATTGTTTTGTACAGAACGATGATTTCAGTTTTATGTATGAAATACTTCAATTCCACAATAATTCTTTATCATATTATATAATATTAAATGATATTAAAATATAATGTTGCGATCAGACAGCAGTAGGATTATAGTATAATATATCAATTTGTTTTTACTCTTTAAACTGTATACCATTAATAAAAAATAAAAATTATCAATATTATTGTAAAAATAGAAACAAGATTAATTATTTTATTATAATGTTACTACTTTTATTAAACAATCATTAAATATAAATTTTTATAATTTGTCATATTAATAAAACAGATTATACATTTAAATTGTGATTATTTTATTTTCAGGTAAACTGATAATTAGATATGAATAAAATAAATGCATTGCAGTAATTGTGTACATATTATGGTGAGCGATTTGAACATTCAAGTAGTACAAAAAATAAAATATATTGTGAAAAATGTAATAGATATTGTTATAATCAAGAATGTTTAGATAATCACGAATATGTATGTGTCCATGTATATAAATGTATTGATTGTAATAGAATATTGTTTAGAGATAGGGTACATAATTGTGGTTATAGTAAATGTAGAAATTGTCTAGAAGAAGTGAAAATAAATGAATATCAATGTTATATGCAACGTAGATTAGCAAAAGGAGGTAAACGCTTAGTAGGATGTACAAAATGTGGAGGTACAAATAAACCATATAAATGTTCTTATACAGAAAAATATTTGTTTTTTGACTATGAAGCTCAACAAGAAACAGGAACTCATATAGCAAATAAAATAATTGCTCATGATTTTGAAGGAAATAAAATTATGTCTGATAACCTAACCTAACCTAACCTAACCTAACCTATGCTTTTTTTCAATTAAGAATCTTTTTATTAATTTTAGATTATTTATTAATTCAGGTCTTTTACTAAATTTGGCTTTTTTATTTAACTTTCATGCTTATCCAATTAAGAATATTTCTTATTAATTTTAGATTAATTTTTATCTAGCCCTTTTTTCAATTGAGAGTATTTTTTATTATATTTGGATGGTTTTATTCGAATTCAATTTTTTATGAAACAAAATTAATTTAATTGGAATAAAAATATTCTTAAGTGAAAAAAAGCCTACTTGAATAAGATTGCCAACTTTAATAAAAAGCCTAAATTGATAAAAAAAACCTAACAATTAATAAAAAAATATTCTTAATTGTATAAGAATAGAAATTAAATAAAACATCTAGAATGAATAAAAAATATTCTTAATTGAACAAGCATAACATTTAAATAAAAAAAGACCAAAATAAATAAAAAGCCAAAATAATTAAAAATATAAAATGAATAAAAAATATTCATAATTGTATTAGAATAAAAGTTTTAATAAATGTCTGTGAAGTTATCCTCTCTACTTTACCCGTTCCACTCCTAACCTATCTCAATATTTTGCAACCTATTTGCTACACACTTTTGTAAATTTCCAACTCCATACTTTAACAGCTATGAACATTTTTGTAATCTATATTATCAAATTTATAAGATAAAATGTCAACTTACAAAAAAATCCAATTAGAATAAGAAAAGACGACGAATTTGCCAAGTATTTAAATAGGTACGTATTTTCAATAGGTACTCTTCAAAATAAATATGTGTATCTGTACTTGAATACTTTTAAAAAGTATCATTTATAAGAATGTCTGTAGTTAGATTCAATTATAAAGCGTTACATTATTCCAAAAACACAAAAACTATCCAACCATTAATTTATTATTTTGTAATAAATTGTACAAAACAATAATTTTTAGGGTAATTTTAATAATATTATATAATATACATACTAATTAGTAGATAACCCACTACCTACTCCTAGTATGAACATTAATGACTATAAAGCATAATTATAAGCTTTTTATTTTTAAGCAAAAAAAGTTATACTTTTAAATGCTGTGTGATATTTAAGTAATTATTGATTTTAAATTATTATTAAAATATAGATTTTTGTCCTCAACTTGACTTTTTTTTATTCTAATTGCATTTTTTAGTAAGGTGGCATTTTTTTTTTATAAATTTGATAATATAGATTACAAAAATGTATGAGGGTAGACATTTTTCGAATTTAGCCCTTAAAGCCTCCTTTTTGCACATGTGATTCTTTCTAATAATACATCTATAAATGGATGTATTAATTATTATTTATCACATATTGGCGGGGAATTTTTAAATATTACTGCTATAGCAGTATCATAAAAATCTTCCAAAAATTGTCGACAATAGCAGTGATATTTTCAATGGTGTCTTATGAGGGGATAGATTGTTGTGTCCCCCAACATCTCAGCGGACAATTTTGCACTGCCCTATAGCATAAAACCCTGAATTGCAGAAAAAAAATCCCCGCACTAGGAAAAAAAATCCCCAGTAGGTTAGGGCCTACCTATAAATTAATTTATAGGTACTTAATAATAAAAAGACAATATGTGGTAGGTAGTGAAAAAAAAGTTTGACTACGTATAAGCTCAAATGTACCTACGTGATACTGCAATTTATAATATACACGTAAAGTTTCCACATAATATTTAGCTGATAATGGTCATGGATTAAAACTAAAAACAGTTTAAACGATAAACAGCTAACATTAAGATAAAATTACTGTCATAAAATGTGCCAGGCGCCAGTTACTTTGTACCTAAACTGAAATAATATCAAAATGTAGGTAATAAAATATAATAACGATAAAAATGTCAATCTTTCGTCTGGGTCACTGAGTGAGATTGGGAAATTTCATTGGAAAATAATAATTACCTATAAAGTATACAATAATATATTATTTATATTTATATAGTAAAATACCTATATAACGTATTATCATTGAGTATAGAATATAGATATACTGAATGTCTGAATCCCGGACGAAAATATATAATAGACAAGCAGGGCCGTATTCACACTTTTTGCGCCCTGGTTGATCAACAATATTTGTACGCCCCCCCCCCCCCACCAAAAACTTGTCAGTTTCAAATATATAGAAAAAATTATGTGGATTTTTTAACGGCGGTAAAAAAACATGAGATATATTTTTTTAAAACTGTTATGTACCTATCTGAAACAAAATTAGAACT